GTCGCCACTTATACCAATTTTTCCGATTCTGAAATTAACAAGAACATCTACCAACGAAGTGAGCAGATCTGGACCTTTCTCCAAACACGCATTTAACGAGACTCCGTCATATTGTGCAGCTGCATCCCACACTAGTCTTTGCTTTTGTGGTTTATTCGGATTACTGACTGTAAACTTCGGTAAGTACCATTTACGTGGATAATACCCCTCGGCTTCGTTAGGTTTCAGCTGGCGTATATAACCTTTCGCCTTCATGTCATCGATGTGATCACATACCCAGCTTTGCAATGTTACATTGGATTGCAGCTTGCGCTCAAAGCACTGAAGTCTACGCAACGCCATTAAGTAATTATCCGGCATAGTAATGTTATTTGATTTCCAAAGCAATCTTGCTACAAAGTATTCACCATTTCGACTTATTTTTGATTGCATACTTTTTTGTTGTTCCAACTCCATATTTTCTAGTTTTTTCTTACCTTCAATAACGTTTTCATTACTGACAAAATCTTTCACTAAACGCTGCAAACTTAGATCATCATCGCATTCACAGATGTGTAAATTTAACGTTTCCCTAATAGTATTAGGTTCGTGCTTAATTATCCCATATATGGTCCACCCGAGTCGAGTTTTCGTTGCAGCTGGCTCATTCTTGCCTCCCTCTCTGAACTTCATTGGCATAGCTACCTCTTTATTGCTTAGGCCGATTATCATTCGAGGCCTAACGTTTTGATACGATTCTACTGGTAGTCCCTTTAAGTGTTTATACTTATCGGTAAGTTCTGTCATATTTAAAGATTGCTCGGGTAGCTCCAGCTTAGCTACTGAACGCACATTGCACAACAAATACCTTTTACCTTCGCGTATTTTGGAGACTTGCAGGTTGACCAGCTCAGAATCAGGTTCCTTGCGTACCGTACCATCTGTCCATCGTAAACAAAGATCTTTCGTTTCACCTTTAATCCGCAGTTGTCTTAATACGTCTTTTTCTATTAACGTTGGACCAGATCCGTCATCCAGAAAGGCATAAATGTTGCAGGTAACACCATTTCCATATATTGTAACTGGAACAATTCTGTACAGCGCTTGTGAAGTTAGTTGATGATGAACCGCCAACGTTTCATTTGCCCCACTTGCAGTTGAACTTGTTTGTTTATGTAGCAATGGGTGATGTTTCATGTTGCAATTGTGTATACCGCACTCTCGGGTCCTCTTGCACGTTCGAAAATCATGCTGCAGTAGACATCTTCCACATAGTCTCATTTCACGCACTACGTTCCACCTCGCGTCTGTTTTTAGTGTTTTAAACTTTGCACACTTTTTCAACGCATGTGCCTCCTTGCAATAAAAGCATGCTAGAATTTTGTGCTTATCGCCTACTGCACCCTGAGGTTCTTCTTCGTGAAAATTAATGCGTTGCGCTTTGCGCCTTTCATTATCTACACTGGCTCCAGCACTAAAAACGGGCGATACATTACTTGCTGCTTCTGCTAGTTCATATATCCAGTTGCCGAATGTTTTAAGTGTTACATTGATATTACGCGATGCAACAGCCCACTGCAATCGCATTTGCGGTGGTAGTTTTTCTACAAGCTCTTGGATAAGCAACGGGTTCACTAAGTGTGAATGTAACTCTGAAGCCTCCATAGTTGCGATCAAATTTTTTACCTCTAAGGCGAACGTAACAATTGTGTCCAATTTATTTATATTAATGTACACTGCTCGAATTTCAGTAATTAAGTTATTGATTATGTGTTCTGGTCTTCCAAATACCATTTGAAGAGTTGACATTATTTCCGGCACTAATGCTGGTATCATGAGCCTACTGCTGACATATTCAAGTGCCTTACCCTTAAGGGCACGTTGCAATCGTAAAAGATTCTCGTCTTCACTGAAACCGCATAAACGTGTTGAATTGCTGAAACTGCTGTAGAAAAGTGGCCACTCTTCCGGCTTTCCGGTAAATATAGGCAAATCTCGTGGAACGACATGACGCGCATTAATTTGTTCTATCATCAGCGCCGGTATAACTTTCGATACTGCTTGGGCTTCCACCCTATCAGCTGAACCACCCAACTGAACACCACAACCTACGTTTGGCTTGCTGTCATCGTTGTTCATACCAACCTGCTTCTTCACCCATTCTAACGTCCTATGTGTCCTTACCTCACTCATGCCTTCACCCTTAACATCATCCTCACCTACATACTTCAGCATTATTGTACGTTTCTTTTCTATATATTTCATTTCGGCTTTTCTTTGCTCTTCTAAGTACTGCAGTTCGATTCTCATGCTGTTTCTTGACATGATTGAACCGCCCTTACTTACCAAGTCCTCCTCACTTGGTGCCTTATTCGGAACCGCTTCTGAAACCTGCATTACCGTGTTGCATTTTTCGCAACTCCAAGGCAGGTCTGCAATGCTGTCATCCACGCCCACGCATGCAAAATGACTCCATTGGTCACATGCGTCGCATTGCACCATCTTTCCAGTCTTCACCTTTTTGCACACGGCACATTGTACAGTCGACTTCTGGCTGCCGGATGACATATTTTTCTTTTATATGTGTTCCCGATTAAAAGGATTTTTTCGGATTTCTTTCCAGGCAAATCGCCACACTATTTTCTTTTCTCGATTACCGCAAGATTTTTACAGCTTGCCACAAAAATTTTAAAGTTTGTTATTGACCAATTTTTAATAGCAAAACAAGTTATTTGTGTGTATTGTGATGTAATGTAATGCTTTAAAATCTTAAAACAAATTTATTAATTTCTAATACTTAAAATTAATTATTTTTTCACTTACTTTTGGTCGTGACAACCGCCTTGCCTCTCCCGGAACTCAAAAACAAAAGCCCAGCACAAATGACAATCAGCTGACACATGAACTGACAGTTCATGTGTGCACTGGGTTGCATTTTCTAATTATAGCTGCACGGTTGCAACGACCAAAGCAAGTTTACAAACATTTTACGCACATTAACCTTTGGGTATGGAGTGGAGTTCTAACAAATAGATTTAATATAACTAAATTTTCTCTTAATATATTTTATTAAAATTATTATATTAATAAAAGTATAACAAATTTAAAATAATTAAATTTCGATTGGTAAATCCGGGTTAATAGAAACCTTGCCAGAGTGGCAAGACTACCCTGAAATTAATAGCTGTTTTATATGGTTTGACTGCTAACAATTGTATTTGTTTATTTTTTGTTTATTTAAATTTATCATATAATTTATCATATAACTAAAATTGCATACATGTCATATATCAAGAAGTAGAATATTTAATTTTATACTTTATATTTTATCTCCAAAATAGTAGATTCTCTGCTTAGTTTCGTTTTTGTATGCAAATTTTTGTTGTAATCATCTACTAAGCAACTAATCAGTTGCCTGAATACCCTTAATATATATTTTGTTTATATGATATAATAATTTTGATCAAATAGGGAACCTACGAGTATTTTCCAAGACTAGAATTTGACCATATGATTAGCAAGCAGTTATAAATTATTGTACTGCAATTCCATCACAAAAAAGAGCGATGTGATGTTTTTGTGGTATGTTAACATATATTATAGCATTGACAGACGGGAGCTAAATTATCGTTAAGGGCCTTAATTATGATTTATTTGCTCATTTAACAGTTTTAAATGAGCATTTATGGTCTTTAAATGACCGAATTTAACCCAATTTATTCGTCATTTAGGTTTTTAGAAATGGTAATGCTGTATATGCAAGTGAAACGAAATAAAAAATGGAACAAATTTCAAGCTGTTAGTTGGTTGTCAAAATGTAAACAAAACATATTTGGACACATTGGATTTTATATTTTTTTATATACTTTAAATTTCTTTTATATATTTTATATTTTTTTTATATATTTTATATTTTTTTTATATATTTTATATTTTTTTTATATATTTTATATTTAATTAAAGCAAGTTTCTTTAATTTTTCTTGCTCTTTCAATAACAAAAAACATAAAGCAACTTCTTAATGATAATTTATACCATCTGTCAGGGTATTTTTAAAATGATAATTTAAGGCTGCTTAATGATAATTTAGTGCGCTCGTCTGTCAATGCTATTACGCGTAAATACGAGTGTTTAATGATGTGCAAATAATATTTTCTTTAGCAATGTCTCTTTGTTACTTGCAAGGTGGGCGGAGTTTCCATTCCTTAGAAGATATTCTTTGGGCTTAGTGTACAATATTATCGTTCTTGTAAATTATGCATATCTGCTTAAGTCAAGTCACACATGCATGACTACTTGAAACAATTGGAGTTATCGTGTGCACGCCACATAGGACGCAAGTGAGTTTTGTATAAGTTTCTGCTAGCCAGGAAGAAATGCATTGAATTTAAAAGAAAGGCCGAAGTCGGATTTGGTCTTAGTGCTGGTGCAAAATATATTTGTGCTAAAAGATTTGCTTAAAATACCTTTGAATGGTAGCTAAAATGTGCACCTCCCTAAATATTTTGTTTACTCAAATGTTAAGTGTTGGCTTTACTGCGGTCGGAAAATATGTTTTGTGTTAAAATGCGTTGAATTTGATAACAAATGATAACTTTATAAATTGGAATATATAATAAATAGTGTGTGAAGCCAAAATGGTGCATATTTTTGTTTTATTGTTGCAATAAGTAGCAAGATGGATGTTTGAATTGAAACTCATATTAAGATTTAACGCAACAAATTCAGGATACTTTTTTATATATGCAAAGTTTGGAAGTGCTATCTTTTAGTATATGATGGAATACACATCTATATTTAAGCACTGAAACTATCTTCTTGTTTGGAGCAAATGATAAACAAGGCAGCTAAGTTCGCTGTGGATATATAACTGGGATAAAAACAAGTTATCATGAATATATGTATGTATATTTTTGGTTAAAAAATTGTGCTTATGTATCCACATTATTTTAATTATGTTACATTTTTTTTAAATTAAGCAAAATAAAACATTGATGTATTATCCTAAATGTTAATACGTTTCTTAGGAAGTACTTATAAAATTGTAAATGACAATAAAAAGTTTGGTGACATTTTATATGGGGTGTTTAATATGTTTTCAATGCATATGGGTTGGTAAAAGTGATTTTGAAAAATATATATATATTTGAAAAAAGATGCTTTTGTTTAGTATCAAATGTGTTAATTTGTCTATTTATTGTCAATATTTATTTAGTTATTTTTTTATGTTTTGAGTAATTTAATGGTATTAATGCTATACAAGATAGGTTGAACACTAAATTGTTGTTCTAATTGATGTATATATTAATAATTGATAAATGGGACATTTCTTACTTCATCTAAGTAATTATAAAATATTTGGTCCAATTATGACGGTTTGGTGTTCTTGCAACATTTGCAAAAGCTTTTTGACCAACACAACGATTAACGTCGTAGTGATAATATTAATACGACACGATTATGAATCCTGGGGCTTTGACAATAGATATCGGTCAGATCTGTTATTTTGAGCAACCTTTTCCATTGAAAAACTGAAAAGCAGTTTTTACCAAATTCCGTCGTCAAAGGGATGATATAAACTATAAGTTTTACATTAAAATTGTAAACAATTGTTGTTTTCATCATTAAAATAAAATTAGCATTTAATGTTAGTTGTTGTTTGTATAAACAAAAATGAAAGTATACAAATGTAAAACCCGGTACTACGATGTCTAAGAAGTGTATTTATTTGCTAAGGTTAACGCACCTCTATTTGTTCTAATATACCATTAAATTAACTGTAGTCTTTGCTTCAATTGTTCTGTCAACTGATCGTCATCATGTTTAAAGTCGGTTGGTCGGACATGTACTCATTAGCGTAGACCTATGATATTACTTGTATTATACTAGAATTTACTAGCTCATTTTTGATTTGAAGATATAGATATTCAATATAGGCTGGCAGAAGTGCATAGTATTGTTTTGGGTAACATTGTTTTTATTATAGAGAGAGGGAAGCACTTATGCCATAGCTTATCAAGGCTTCTCATACGATTAAGAAAACTTCACAGTATACATATTTTGCTCTATATAAATAAAAAATACTGTTGCTTCGCGATACGTGATAACGTTCGCCTGACATTTTGGTAAGAAATTGTAATTTAAATTTGATCATTTTAGTTTAAAAACATTTTCTTCTAAATATTTAATTTTCAGTCCATATACGCCGTGCTAATGCTACCCAAATGCTTTTTTATGAGGTTTAAGACGAGCAAGAACAGTTGCTCTGTTCTGTGAAGGTGAATGTGAATAAAATCTATTCACCTTTCTTCCGCGACTTATAAATACGTATATTAGGTGTAGTATAAAGAAATGCATTATTTTCTCAATAGATGGCAGCCAAACATGTGCAATTTTGGTTTCGTCGATTCCGTTTCCGTAATTTTGATGTTTAAGATGCATCACGCACTGGAAGAGCAATTGTCGAAAATGTCGATAAAATCCGATCTGATCGTCATGTAAGCACTGTTTCAATTGCCCACAAGCTAAGAATTGTACAAAAAACAGTTTGAAATTATTTGAATAAGATTGAATACAAAAAAAAGCTCCATGTATAGGTGTCACCCAAGTTAACGCAAAGATCGAATTTTCATTTGCGAAACACTGCTGAACTGTAACAAAATCGACCCATATCTAAAGATGTTGGTGCCTGGTGATGAAAAGTGGATCATTTACAAGACGGTGTCAAGACAGTGATCGAATCGCAGTGAGCCAGCTGAAACAGTGGCCAAGCTAGGTTTGTGTTTGGTGGGATTAGCAGGGAATCATCTACTATGATCTACTTCCCTATGGCTAAACCCAACTGAGGGCTGTATTGTTAAGGAAGCAATCACCCAGAAATGACAAACTTTAGGCAATAGAAAAGTATATGTGCTCCATCATGGCAACGCCACACACATCGATAATGACTCTCGTAAAGCTCTGAAAGCTTGGTTTCACCTTATACTTTAGACGGTGCATCAAGTGATTACCATCTGTTTTTCTGGTAGAAAATTCGCTTCAAAAGAAGCTTATGGAAATCGACTGTCAATTTTTTGCCAATAGGGCGGACTTCTATGAGAGAGGCATAGTGAAATTACCTTCCACTATAGTCAATAAGACTTTAATTTCAAGCAAAAATAATGGATTATTTTTACTGCACCTATTATAAAAACTGATTATTTACAAATTCAAACTTGAATAACATAATACAATGAAAAAATGCTATTTTCAAGGTCAAAAAGTAGTAATAAGACTTAAAAAGCTTGCACGAATATCTAAGCAACTTAATAGAGAAAAATGTGATAATAACTGTGGTAAAATAATAATAACTGAGGTAAATCTGTGATTGTTGTCAGAATAGCGCTCTTAAAGTAATCTGTAGTTCAAACTTATAGTATGTTTTCACAAGCTTCGTTAAACCAGTTAACTCACTTAAGATTGCTAATTAAATTCCATTAACCATACATAGAACTTTTTTAGGGTCATGTTATGCAGAGTGCCTCGAACAAGGAAAATTCGCTCTTTCCGACTATGCCGAAAATGCATGTTATGCTGAGTGTCACATCATTATTGTCAATTTTGTACAAAATTTACAAAATGTCAATACAAAATTTAATGTCATCTGCTTACAATTAAAATGTAATCAAATAAAAACTCTACTTAAACTTTAACAGAACTTTCTGACACATAAGTAACTGAGATTTTCAATAAGTAATTTATGCCAATGTAAACGACAAAATCTCAAACTTACTTAAGTAACTTACTTGAGTAAGCAGTGGAAACATAATATTAGTGCCGATGTCTGAAAAAACTGATTTCACATTATGGTTATTAGTTGAATGTTTGACTAATTCCACAAATGATTTGTTTTAATGCTATCTAAGGTTTCGTCACATAGAAAAGTAAATTAATCTCATGTAAAAAAATTGACATGAATTGCGTTACGAACGTTTACATAAAAAAATTCAGCACGCTCTATTACGTGATTATTAGACTTACGCTTCACTTTATCAGCGTTACTTCGGCAGTTATAATTTTCGGTCATAATAGATTGTGATTACTGTTTAAAGGAAGTAATATATAGTACTGGTATATGATAGTACATCTACATGTTAACATTTACATAATATTTGTTGTTGTAAGTAATATTTATGTACTCAGTTATTAAATCACTTATCGTCGGCACATGCCAAGTACAAAGACCAGTCTTTTATATTGTTCATATTCCTGCCATTCGAAGTAGATCAGTTCTGCATTTTTGCATTTTATCTTATTTGAGAACACTGTTATACAGACACTTATATAAAAAATGATCACGAACCATCATGATAGCATGTTTTGTGAACCCCGACAAAATTTAAACCGACATTTCTCTCTCGCTCTCAATTTTTTAATTCACATTTAAAGCAACAACAAATTTAATTTTGACATGCCAGTGACTTGCTGCATAACATAAGTGCATGGACCTTAAACAAGTGGCATTTCTCAAGAATAGCAATGATATAAATTATGACGAATCTAACTTGTAGTGATCCTTGTGTTCATTCTTGCAGACGATGTCGCTGTAATGATGAGAAAGTAAAGTTATTTAAATTTCCACCAATTGCTAACGTTTTGTAATAAATGGTTTGCGCGTTCAGATATAGGAATACGTGAACCAAAAAGTGGTGCTTATCCTATTTTCAAATTAAATTCTTTTGAGGGTGAAATGATTAATTTCGAATAATCTGCCTACAATTCTTCTAGGGGTGCAGGTTTCTGTATTAATTGCAAAAAGCTTCTAAAAGATGTAACTGTCTACAAAAAAAATATGTCTAAGTGTTAAAAGAAAATGTCAGTCTACAAAAAGTTTAATGTTTTCAAAAACCCAAAATTTCCTGAAAAAAATTTGATGTGGAGCTTTTGATTTAGTTGATTTAGTAGATATCAAGAAAGGAGCCAAAGATTTCTGTAAAATGATATCATAAAAGCGACAGAACATATTGATTTAGAAAATAAAATATGTTAAGTACGTATACTTATTTTTAACAAATAAATTTGAATTAACTTACCCCACAGGAAATGTATTATAATTGGCTACCTATAAAGAACCTGTAGCACTGTTTTTTGAACGCTGTTGTTGCTATATAAAAATATATGAATAATTTCTAATTTTCCATCAACTTATTAAATAACTTTGTATGCAAAATTATTACATTTGGCTCAGGTAATTATCGCTAATGTAAAATTTTTAATATAATAGGGGTATCTCCTGGTACAGTTTAAAAAAAAAAACAATCGACACCAATCAGAGTAATAGTGATTCCTGGGATAATAATTGCTGTATTTTAGATTAGGTTATAAAAATTGATGGCTTTTATGAAAAAAAAATTGTTTATCGAGCCATTTTTAATTTCTTCTGGTCTCGAAGAACGCTTTGCATTGCTCGGAACAAGTAGTAATCTGATGAAGCATAATCTTATGAATAGAGAGTAGGCGGTAGAATTTGCCATTTAAGTGTTTCCAATGTATTTTTTAATTGTCTTGCGAAATGTGGTCAAGCATTGTTGTGCAGTAAATTCCCTTTACGTTTTTTGTTGCTTGGAATTGGAAGTTCTCCCTTCAACATATGGTTCAAACTGATCAAATGTTGTTCGTGACGTTCTGCAATAACAGTTTATCACTCCTCACGGATCCTATTAAATGCAAATTTATTGCATGTAAATGTATGCTTGTGGCAAACTTTACTAGTATGGGTTTTGAACCTGGAACTTTAATTTAACTGCGAATAAATAATAAAATTTAATTCAATTCGAAACCGATATTTACTCATATAGGGTCTGTTAACAATCGGAGATCAATATATAGGGTTAGACGATTAAAGTGTTACCAATTATATACACACAGGTGTATATGTCAAACTGATATTACCAACTACGTGAAATTCATATTAATGACAGCCGTTTATATTGTTTACAAGCTACTACGTAGCAACCACGCTACTACAAGCATTTGCGTCTAAATTTTATATAACAAAATTTACTTCGGAATTTAAACATAATAGTGTGATTGAGTTATATTTGGCTGGAAAATCACTATTAGCAATTTTTCGTGAGCTCAAACATCTCAAAGTGAATAAAATGTTTGTGTGTTGTACCATAAATCGTTGTAATAGTACAAGCAGTGTCACCAAACACTATGGTGGTGGACAAAAAAAAAACAGCAACATCACCTGAAGTGGTTCAAAAAGTAAAGGCTTGACTTAAATGAAATTCACATCTTGGTGATAATCAACGTGCCGAAAAACTAAAAATATCTTAGCGAAGCATTCGACGCATATTCCTTAATGACCTCAAGGTAAAGTCTTACAAGTTCCAAAAGGCACACGATTTTACACTAAAGCAAAAAAAGTTAGGTTCGAAAGAGCAAAGGAGTTGTTACGCTTGCACGAACGTAGCGAATTTTCAAACATTATGTTCTCTGATGAGAAAAATTTCCCCATTGAGTAGTTCATAAACTCTCAAAATGATCGTGTTTACTTAAGAAAACGCATTACCAAAAATTTGGGGCTACGAATGGCCACCCGAAGTAATTTTCTATCTCAAATAATGGTATGGGCAGCTGTGACCGACGATGAACACTATCCAATCATTTTTATCGACCCTGGTGTCAACGTCAATATGACTTATTATTGGGAAATCAAATGGTTTAACAAGGATAATAAAGATCAGCAACTCGCCTCTCCTGGTATAATTTTTGAGGGCATCACAATGGGTAATATATGCCTGCGAGTGGAAGTGCTGATAACTGTCAGCACGCGCTGAACCTAACCTAACCTATTATCAAAGAAATATTTTGGAAGTTGCTTTATAGCCGTGGACATGCAAAAACTTCGGTCGTAGTAGACCATGGACGTTCTAAGACTCCGCACCAATCTCGGTCTTATAAAGTTCGTGTTAACTAAGAATGGTTCCACACTTCATTTCGTTTAGACAATGGCTTTCGAATTCGCCAGATGCAAATCCAATGGACTTTTCCATATGGGCCATTTTGGACAGCAAGATGAGGATTAAAAAATAGCGAGTATGGGTACGCTTAAGAAAGCCCTTGTTCAGGAATGGGCCAAAATACTGGAATATCACATTCGTGAAGTAGACAACTCATTTTTACCCATTTGAATGCCATATTTAAAGCAGAAGTTGGCCACAGCGAGCTAGAGTGAATGATTCTGAAGTTTTGAATACTTCCACAATTTGTTGTACTTTGAATAAATAGAAAATAATTCCGCATAAAAAATATATGGTCGCTTGAATAGGTAACACTTAAATCGCCTAACCGTGTAATGTAGATAGTGCAGAATATTATAATTGCAGCATTCAATTTTTGCATTTATTTTGGTTCATTTTTTTAAATTCATTTTTAACTAGTAGTTAATATTTATCTAATATATGGTTTTATACATTTTTTAATACATGCATTGTATTTTCTTTATTTTTAGAATCGAATAAAGGACTGAATTAATACTATAAGAATGATCAAGAATCTTCATTAGTAATTGATTTAAAATAATATTTTCACCAAAATCTAAGATGCAATTAATAATTTGAAAAAAAAGAACTATTGTAACAATAATCAAATATTTGAATGTACATATATAAATGTAAATGAAATAGTTTCAAAATGGTCGTTAAACGTACTTACAATAGTAAAATATCATTATGCGTTCAGCCAAGAAAAAATAATTCGATTTTTTACTATGTTTATTGTTACATATTATGTTGTGCATTATTTCATATACAAATGTCAGAGTCCTCCGTAACTCGAACCAATGACATAATAAATAATAAAAGCCATTCAATATTTGAATTAAATAAAACAACGACACAGTACATTTCTAATGATATTGCTGCGCAGTTCAGTTTACCAGTAGTACATGTAATAAGTGGTGTCAGTACGAATGAAAGAACCGTCACAAGCATTATTTCAACGACAACTGCTACTTTGAATATGCCTAATTCTACATTGCATTCGTCGAATTCAGGCGATAGAAGTCAACGAAAAAATTACTTCACACATCTGGCATACGACAGGAAAAGAAATATATTTTTTGCCGGTGCAACAAACAAAATATTTCAATTAAACGAAAACCTACGTGTTTTAAATCAAGCAGAAACTGGTCCCAGGAATGACTCTCCGCAGTGTCATGCTGGCGGTTGTCCTGAAGATATTGAAACATCTTTAGTTAATAATTATAATAAAATATTAATCGTAAATGGTGCTGTAGATGATGGCATTTTGATTGCTTGCGGTAGCATAAGACAGGGTACTAAGTGCTATAAGTTTGTATATAAATATTAAAATACATTTAACTTTAATATATTTTTAGGTGCATGTGATTTTTATAATATTACGCATTTTCCATTTGATTCACGGTTTATTGCCGTACCTTTGGCAGCTAATGATGAATACGCAACAACTTATGCTTTCATTGGACCGGCCCAATATTCAAAATATTCCAAAGAGGATATATTATATGTTGGAACTACGTTTACAAATGTTGGCGATTACAGACATGATGTCCCTGCCATATCTTCACGTCGTTTAGAAGACTTGAATTATGCTGAATTCTCAATCCAGCAGTCAATAATAAATATTGATGTTAAGTACCGTGATCATTTTTTAGTTGACTATGTTTATGGTTTTAATTCATCGGATTATGCCTATTTTCTATTAGTACAAAAAAAATCACATTTAGCTGAAGAAGCTGGTTATATAACGCGTTTAGCTCGTATTTGTATAACTGATTCTAACTATGATAGTTACTCTGAAATAACTATACAGTGTCAAGCAACAGAAGATAATATTGATTATAATATACTGCGTGATGCAAAGGTTACAAAGGCTGGTCAGAAATTAGCACAACAGATGGGTATTAAACGTGATGACCACATATTAGTTTCAATATTTTCTCCATCAAAAGAAATTTCAAACCTTCCCGAAGCGAAGTCTGCAATGTGCATATATAGTTTAAAAGAAATTGAAGACATTTTTACAGAAAATATACATATGTGCTTTAATGGAACCATAAAAGATCGTAATCTAGGTTACATATCTGGAACTATTAACGATGGACGTTGTCCTATTGCTGGTGTAAGTATATTAAATCTTAATTTGTTGAGTTTCAATTTATAAACATGTATAATTAATTAGTCACTTGGCAATATTTACAACTTTTGTTCGGTGGGACTTAAAATAAGTGGAGTTGCGCCAATTACTGCACAAGCATTGTTTCATTTCGATAACGTTTCTGTAACATCAGTAACAGCAACCACAACAGGACCACACTCACTTGCTTTTTTAGGTACTGAACTGGGAACAATAAAAAAAGTCTTATTATCTGGCTTAAATCCTGGTGAATATGAAGAAATAATTATTGATCCTGGAAATAGCATTCTACAAGATACAATGATGTCGCCGAATAAGGATTTTTTGTATGTCCTGTCCAAAAAAAAGGTAAAACACTTAATTTCTTCTTTGCAGTTCCTTTTTTTTGCAATACATCTTAAGTTTATATATGAACAGATATTTTCAAATAAACCAATCAAAATATATTGTATGTATATATCATTTGGTCACGTTTCAAAGTAATCGCTTTCAAAATTTTAAATTCTCAGCGTTATAGCTTAGTGATAATTTTCTTAAGAAAAAATAACTTAGTTAATATTATAATAGCAGTTCATTTCAATATGAAAATGTGTCATATCTTTGGTATTGACATAATGTAATTGATATTAATAATGCTGTTAAAACAGTTCGAATTTTTCAAATAATTTGATTATCCATAAATAAGCGAGCGAGCAATTCAAATTAACCGAATATTTGCGAATTATTCTTTGCAATCCAAATATTCGAATATAAGCAGTTAGTTGATACACCATTCCAATAGTTCGTTATGTGTGACCTTTATGGTTTATTGGACTGGTTATAGTTGAGTAAATTATATTATCCAATTCTTGGCATGTATGAAAGCATATTTGTTTTTGGTGATATACTTTTCAAAATTAATTTAAAGAATTTTTATTGAAGTATTCAACGACTGCGAAAGATAACTCAGTTTGTGAAACATCTATTGATATCAAATCTTAATATATGTGTTATTTACTTATTGTATTAACACAAGTTATTTTTTCTAACAAATATTTTTCTTTTTCGTTGTTTGAAAAATATATTACATTTTTATCTTCGCATTTTTAACTTCAATCTATCATTTTGTTTTTGTTTTATTTGACGCTACATTGTATAAGGATATATAATTATTGACTATAACTTTTGATTATATGAGAATAATAGTTTTTTTTTTAACGTTTATGTATGATATGTGCTTCGTTTAATAAATTCATTAATTTTCAGAGTGATTTTAAATATTTGGGCGGCTTCGTTATTTCAATATTTAAATAATGTATAATAGTTTCGTTATTTTTTATTAAACTTTCTTAAACCTTGAAATAAAAACAAATCAAATATCTATGAACTATAAATAATTATTAGTTTATTAAACATTAGTCCTGAGGAAACTAACAAAGTTTCGTCATTCAAAAAATGTATATAAGTTTTTTGCAAATTCCCGATTTTACTAAAATCTAAATATGATTACTATTTTATATGTGTAATAAATATACATGATATAAAACAAACATTTTTAAGAACCTTAAACATGTTCTTTTATGAATATTTTGTAGTGTGGTATTTGAAAGTCCCAAAACTGAAACACGAATAATGAAATGGAGCCTTCCAGCTCATTTATTTCATACTCTATTAAAGTTTTTGAGATATTTGGAGGACTGCACATATATCACTTAGATGCTTAGTATCAATTGATGATAACACTGAATTAAGATCACCTAATTTTAATTCTGCCGCACTGCAATACAGATTGTTAGACATTAATTTTATAGTTATGCTTCCAAATAGCTACTTTTAGGAAATTTTTCAATCAAGTCTTACTGTATGGAAGGTTCGAAGATAAACAGCAGGCATACTACTAGTTATGACTAGTGTTTTGGTGATTAAGGCATATCAGCTAATCAGTTAAAGTAAACTTATTTTTAATGTATTTTGTATGTATTTAATATAAAACACATTTTACAAGTTTCTAAATAATGGTTTTATGGTAATTCTTTTTAAGTCTCCTTTTTAAATCTTTTACAAAATAGTTGCTTTCTATAAACTTTACATTTCTAATAATATAATAATAAATTAAAGTAATTTAGGTTATTGTTCGAGTACGATTTAAATTACGTCTAATTTTTTTGTTTTTTTCTTTTTGGGATTTTGTTAAAATTAAAACAATTTTCTTATTTACGTTGTAACAGTCTTCCATGGTTGTTTAGTGTATTAAATCAATTACAATATATCAATTATAATATTAATAATGAATTCAAAACATGTCCAGTATAATAATTTAAAATAAAACTTCATATTTAAAAAAGCGTTTTCATGGATATATGATTATTTGCAATTATGTATGTATGTTATTTGCAATTATATGTAGACCATCTCCAGTAGAAAGTCGTTATGGAATTGCTCTACAATTGCTACTGTAATCAAAACTGTTTACGTTATTATTAATCAAAACTATTTACGTTATTATTAATCAAAATTACGGTTTTTGCTGTAAATTGAATTGGATTATGTCTTTTTGCTGTTTCAGAATTTAATTTAAACTTCAATTTTCGTTTTAGCTGCTCCATAATAACTTTTATTCTTAGCACTGCTGCTTTACCTCACTGGATCCAAATACTTTACACAATGTATAAAAATTACTAAATATTTTCACAATTACTCAATATTATTGTACATATTCAGCTGTGCAAGATGGTTTTTTGCATTTAGAACTTTATATTTTCTCCACCTTTTCGGACCTCTGCCAGTGATTGTTTAAAACATACCTTCAAAATAATTTCGTCTTTATGTATCACTACTTTTAAACAACCCGTAGTTGTTTGTATTTTCCTTACATTGCCGACTTTATAGTCTAAAGTCCAACAATTGAGTCTAAATTTCTTCGAATTAATGATAATTCAGCAGTACACATATTCGCTTTATATCACTACTGTTTACACATCAAACAACATGTTTCCAACGATGTATTCGGTTAATATTTGGCGCTATTTGATGTTTTATATCAGTGTTCAAATATGACCAATTTCCCGTTTCGCTTGAATTATAAACCACAATCACCTTATGTAATACAAGTTTTTGGGCATCATAAAAACTGAAGGAAGGACTCAATCATTTTATTGTAAATTTTTGTATAATTTGGTTACCAATGGAGTATGAGATTTTAATATGTATGCAATTAGGATTTAATATTATTTTTTTTCCTTAATCTCCAACCATGTTTCTGAACCTTTGTCAATTTTTCTTTTGCTCTGACTTTTGAATCAAATTCGAAATGGTTAAGTTCACGGGTAACACAGGTATTTGCATTTGCATTTAATTCTAATCCTCCTAACGAAACTGTAGTAAACGTACGTTGTACAACACGGGACAAGAGAAGAGCAGCTGGCAGAAAAAGGGCGGCAAGATAAGCGTTTGGTGTAAGATTAACAATTAGTGTGTTAATGTGTAACTAGCGAAGTTACTACAGAAACTAAAAGGATTAGACTGTATTTACTTCTATATATCAAAATTGCCAACTTTTATTCATATCATATTAATTGATTAATATGAAATCTAAAAAGAAAATAATTATACAAAAATTTGAAAAAAAAAATTAAACAATGTCACTATCAATATCAGTTAGTGAAAACAAAACCTGGCAAATAAAACTTAAAATTTGTAATTTATGTTTATTTATGCTGTTATTTTTTATTTCATGTTTTTTGAGGGGCTTTTTGACTCTGCTTCAGGAATCGTAGTCTTTGTTGTTAATTGAAATGTGTTATTATGTAACTTTTCATAATTCGGTCTAACTAATGAATATAGCTTCTGTTATAAATACTTTCGTATTGAACTAGCTCCAATATGTTTAATTATTGGTGTTTCTAGGTAGGATTTTTGCAAATAATACAATCCATGGCATTTTTATGTAGTCTGTCTTAGTTGATACCTTTAATTACTACTCCAAGACATGAACTATTTTTTAGCTAGTAATGAACTGTTCGTATATATATTTTTTTCGAATATTAATGTTTCCATACATCGAAAGTAAATTTTTTCTTACTTTGTTTCGTTTTTATTAAATATTTTTCAGATTACTAAACTTCGTATTGAACATTGTTCCATTTATACGAATTGCACATCATGCCTCGAATCTCGTGATCCTTTTTGTGGGTGGTGCTCGCTAGAAAAAAGGTGTACTGTTCGTTCGACATGTCAAAAAGACACTTCGGCTGCTCGTTGGCTATCTTTAGGAAGTGGACAACAGTGCATTGATTTTGAATCAATTGTTCCCGATAAAATACCTATAACTGAACTATCGCAAGTTAATTTAATTATACGAACATTGCCTGAACCATTGAATGCAAAATATCGTTGTGTATTTGGTAATTCAACACCTATTGACGCTGATGTTGTTGAAAATGGTTTAGTTTGTATTACACCTCCAATAGAGCAACGTCCTTTAATTAATGCGAATATAGATCATGTGTTGGTTCCATTATCAGTTCGAAGTTCCGAGACAAATAAAGATTTTGTATCGCGTTCATTTGCATTTTATGATTGTACTCGTCACAACACTTGTAAGAAATGTGTCCGCAGTATTTGGGGTTGCAATTGGTGTATTTTTGATAATAAATGTGTCCACAAAATGGCTCAATGTCGAAATATGGAAAATGTGATAAGTAAAGAAGAATCATGCCCGCATTTAAAAGAAACTAGTGAAAAAATTTTGCTTCCTGTTCGAGTACCAAAAGAAATTCGACTGGAAATTATAAATCTACCAAAACCAAAAAGCGCTCATTCAGGTTTCCTATGTACAGTCCAAATTGAGGAAGCTCAAATGTTATTACCAGCTCGAGTGGAAGGAAATAAAATAATCGTTTGTGAAAAAACTCCAGTAAGTATTGAGTATAATAAATTGTATATTAATGAAATAAATTGTATATATTTATATTTATTTACAGTATTTTTATGAAACTAATACTTATGAGTATGAAGCGAAGGTGGATATAACTTGGAATAGACAACATTATGTTGATACGGCAACAATAACTTTGTACAAATGTGATGTATTAGGAGCGCATCGCGATCAGCCTGATTGTAGTTTATGTGTAACTCGTGAACCCAAATATCAATGCGCTTGGTGTGGTAACTCTTGCGTTTTTAATGAATCTTGCTCAGGTTTAGATCAGAGCCAACTACATATGTCATATCCATTGGTTCGGATTAATGAATGTCCACGGCCAAGGATTGATATGATAAACCCACTTTCGGGCCCTATTGAAGGGGGAACTTTATTAACAATTGAAGGCAGTAATTTAGGTGTACGAGAAGAAGATGTACGCAATAAAATATTTATTGGAAGTGAACCATGTGAGTTGGTTAATTATGAAATATCAGTTAAGATTGTTTGTCGCACTAGTGCTGTTAGTCATGAACTAACCGCCCCGATAAAGGTAGCCAACGAAGCTGGATTCACAGAATCAAGCGTTCAATTTCAGTACAAAGACATACAATTATATGGATTAAATCCAACAATAGGCCCCAAATCAGGCGGTACGCAAATATTTTTACTAGGAAAATACCTTAATATTGGATCTCATATACGTGCATACCTCGATGAATACGAATGCCATATAAATTTGACTAAGGCGTCTTCATCCCGCCTTACATGCGTAACTTCTGCAGCCACACAACCAGAACCAATCAGTGCTTTACACTTGATTGTAGATGGTGCAAATCGATCTTTTACGTGCCAGAAAAATTTAAACGAACAGCCAATTGTACACACAGAGCGAAGAAATTATGCCTATCATTATCACATACCACCAAACAGATTTTGTTCAATTTTCAATTATACGCAGGATCCACGAATCATGGAAATTAAGCCATTACTTAGTTTTGCTAGTGGAGGGCGAGTCTTAACTGTACATGGATTATACTTCGACTCTATACAAAAACCAGAAATAGAGGTAATGTAAAATTTTTTATATATATTTTTCATATTTTGTTGTCAATGTGTTTTGACCATGTTAAACTTCTATCAATATAAATTCCTAAATATTTCACCTCTTATATTGAGGAATACGGACATTGTTTCGCTTAACTGGAGGACATGTGTCTTTTCGTAGAGTGAATGTACGCTTTTCGCTTCTTTTACCTTAACACGCCATTTAGCTAGCCATGTTTCAAGAAGATTAAGATATGTTGAGATGTTGCAGTATCATTTTTAAAAGTTGAGACCATGTAGTTTCCATACAATGGGAGATCTGCAGTGTAGATTAAAGAAAGGAGTGGTCCAAGGACGTTTCCTTGAAGAACGCCAGTAGCAATTTCATACTCACTGGTAATAAATGAGTTATGGTTAACGTTAAATCTACGGTTGGGCAAGTAAGTTTTTAAAAGTTCATGTACGTTTGCAGTGAAGGACTTTTTGGTCTTATATAAAAGGCATTCGTGCCAGACTTTGTCAAAGGTCTGGACTACGTCTAAGGGCCAATTTATGTAGTGTCTCGGGCACAGCAAAATTGACTCAGGCTATGCTGAAAATGCATGTTTTGTACATAAGTATTGCCAATTTCGTATTTTTAAAATGTTGTGGTACTTTTTAATTGTGCCTAAATTGAAAAGGAAATGTTCACTTTCAATTTTGCCACTAAAAACAACCAGTAAGTAAAAACTCGTACAATCTGTAATAATGTTAATTTATTATTATATTATCTTATAATAATTGTAAACAGTACTTACAAAATTACATGCCTTTCCTTAAAATCGGAAAGTGTTATAATTAGATTAATTCCGCTGATTACTGCCACTTTTTCTCCAAAACGTATTGAAATTGTAGTAATTTGCTCCTAAAAGGCGCAAATTCTGAAATTTATTACTAAACATTTGAACCAACATATTGTTTTTTCTCTCAATCTCAATCTTATAATTTGCATTGAAAACAACAACAAATTTACCCATGTCGTGCTCGAGACACTTTACATAACATAGCCCTAAGAAAACACCTGCAAAGCATTTCTTATCTTGAAAACGTCCATAATTTCTTTTGCTATTCTGTGAACTTGCTCTTTTGTGCCATGTCAAGATGTGACTGCAGTGAAATCTTTCCCGACCTTGGGGATCATTTTGATTAGAGATGTTTTTACTGCTTGGGAAAGTAGGCAAACGAAAAAACTGCGTTGAAGGTGACACCAATTAACCAAATGACTTCAACAGGAAGTTGCTTAAGCATTTTGCCAGTGATTTCATCGATTCCGGGTGACTTTTTTTGTACCCTGTTGACGTCGGTATGCTTTAGAGTGGGGTTTTAAATTTTAGGGCTGCTTTCCATAGTGTATACCTGTTTTCCTTGGGCGGACCAAAATTTTCAAGGTAATTTTGCAGTGTGTTTAGTTTTTGAACGCAGATAATGCGCTGTCGTTGCTTCTGCAAATTTTTGCTTTGACCGCGGGGGTCGGTGAGGCGCTGACAAAAATGCATTGCACTGCGTTTAGTTGAGACGAGTACATCGATAGCATATTAGAATGTTACAATCTGTGTTTTTAAAATTTAGTTAGTTTGGCCTGAGATGTAGCTTCAGAGATAGTGGTATTGAGCAGGCAAACAGCTTCATCTATGTCGTTTTCTGATTCAATTGATGGTAGAGTTGTTAAATTTTCTTGGATTATTTTTTTATATCGGTTCCAATTTCTGTATGTTTTAAATCTGCAATACTTTACATAATATTTTACATTATACCCTGCATTCATTCCATAAATTTGTTAACTCTCTGAATGAAGATTGTAAACATTACAGAAATGGTGTCTGAAGAAGGTGACGTAAGGATTGGGAGAGAGTTGATTGAAGCGAGAGGAAAGTTTTTTTTAAAACACTAGAGTAGGAAATTTGGACAGATTTAAGATTGGTATTATTTGGTGGATTGGAAACTAATATAGGATAATTTAACAGCGAATATTCAGATATAAGGTGGCTTCGATATTTCGGTCGGTTAATTCATTTTACTTTTAAGGTTAACGATGATTACTTCTTCATCTTTACTTTTTGGTTAGTTTGCATTTGAGTTAAACTCAGAACAAATAACACAGACAGTATACAAAATGAAGAAATTTTTTTTGTCCAATAAGCGATGTGAGCGATTTAACTAGGAAGTTTGAGGTTGTTTCTCTAAGGAATATTGTCGGTGGTTTCAGCGGTTTTTCAGCCTGACGTGCATTGGAACTTACATTATGTAGCGATCCAGACTTATTTGTTTGCATGTTGTAACATTCTGCGAATTTTTGATCGTTACATTTACAGAATTTGGTGTTTTGCATTGCTCAGACCATGCCAGAGGAAAAGCTGGATTAATAGTTTCAGTTATATTTTTTACATTTATTTGAGGTTTATTTTTATTGTAAGTATTAGTATACAGTGACGTTTCACTTTGGCTTGACATAAAGAGGTAAGAGTTTGTGCTTGATTGCGAAATAGAAACAGATACTATGCTCTCTATAAAGAGAGCCTGATTGTTGTTTGGTATCAGTTATTTTTTTTAAATAGAAATGAAAAAGTTTTTAAATTAATTTATTTTAAATTAGTACAAGCGAAGAGTTTGTACTATATGGAATATAAAGTTAGTAAATGTTAGTAAATATAAAATAAATTGGTCTATATTTATAGGTTTTTCATGAGGACAAGAGAGTCAATAAGAGTACTTGTGTTGTCATCGATTCTAACCGAATGGAATGTCCATCACCATCGATTACTGCTGCATTTGCAGCATACAGGAGTTATATAGCTGAAAAAAATAATTTAAATATTGCTGCATACAAAATGTCTGAAGGTAATAATTATTGTTAAATAATGGATTATATCATGATGTGAAAATTTTACTTATTTAGTACTATCAACATCCACTGCTGGTTATTATAGCGAAGGTGGAAATGATATTGCAGCATTTGTAAAAATCCCAGAGACGCAGTTAAATTTACAATTAGCATTTGTTATGGATAATGTTCAAGGGGTCCGCGATCTTAGTAAATACTTCCAAAATATTCGTAGCAATATTGTGTATGTATCAGATCCAAAGTATTTGCCCTTCCCTGATGGAATCAAGCTGTATAAAGGTGATACGTTAGTAATAGAAGGGGAGCTTTTGAATGTTGCTGCTGATGAGTATGATGTTAACGTTACTATAGGTCGCTCTCAGTGTAACATAACTAGTTTAGCATTAACACAATTAGTCTGCATACCACCAGAAAAACAACCTTCACCTACAGATGAAAATGGTGTTGAACAAGCATCAGATTTGCCATTAGTTGTTGTGAAAGTGGGACGTAATCTTCGTTTCTCTATTGGTTATCTAAAATATGATTTAATGAAGTCCTATACATTTTCACATGCAATGCTTGGCATTATTTTTACGATTATAATTATTTTAATTTTGCTGATTATCATTTTGGTTATATACCGACGTAAATCAACACAAGCCGAACGTGAATACAAACGAATACAGATACAAATGATTACTTTGGAAAGCAATGTTAGATCTGAATGTAAACAGGCATTTGCTGAATTACAAACAGATATGACTGATTTGACAGCAGATTTAGAAAATACAGGAATACCAACTTTAGATCATGTAAATTATATTATGAAAGTATTTTTTCCAGGAGTTTCAGATCATCCAGTATTAAATTTTCCAAAGGTAAATGGCATAAGATCTAGAAAGGTCAAAAGTATATTGTAAATATTTTATTTCAGTTGCATATGAATAGCCCGCATACAAATTACGACATAGCCATGCTTCAGTTTGAGCAACTTATAAGCAATAAATATTTCGTGTTAACTTTCATTGAAACATTGGAGGCTCAAAAATCATTTAATATTCGAGATAAGTAAGTACTTTAATTTTTATTGGTTTTATTTTTGTTTCATTTTAAATATAATTATATACATAAATTATATTTTACGATGTATGACAGGAATGTATGGTGCACTCGTGACTACTGACTGCACGTATTTATTACAATAAGAGTATTACGGTGATCTTGCCTCTTACATTTTTTCTTGTTGAATTTACATCTGATTCTGGAAACAGGAGAATTCAGAGTATTGTATTAGGTGCAACGGTTGGAAGTGCTACTTTAATCTTCTGTGCTATTCTGGCTTGCATAGTAATACAGAATAGGAATGTTGCTTATCAAGAAACTGGCTTTCTAACAATATATACATTTTTGGACAACTGATCGACTGAATCGAAAGAAATTGATATATAATATTCTTGTCAGTTCGGGTTCAATCTTCGCAGTTTCGGTTCGATAAGTGATTTATCCCATAATAAAAATGGATTAGTGTCAAAATTTCGAGCTTTGATTTCTGTATAAGTAAAGAACATTTTAAATAATTTGTGGCTTATATATTTTATTGATTTCTCAGATCATAATATATCTATATCTATATATTGTAATTATGATAATAGTCATTTTTATCATTTTATTGATTTCTCAGATCATAATATATCTATATCTATATATTGTAATTATGATAATAGTCATTTTTATCAGTGCCGCTATCAAAATCGATATTATATTCCGTTGAGGAAAATTATGTAGTCTTTTAGTTTAGTAAAATAGATTAGTATATATAAAATCTATATTATATAGGTTCTGTTATTGCGTCAGTTGTTGAAGCTGCTTTTACTCTCTTTTAGTTTTCTTTGATCTGGTTTCGTAACATGGAAAAAATTTTTATTTTGTTATTAGCTATAATAGAAGAAAGTTGTTTGTTGGTGTTGGGTTGAGGGTTGATAGTTACTGGTTGAAAGATTTAGGGATCATCATTGTTTATAGAAATTAAGCTATTTGTTATAAGGCTAATAGTTTCACTTGCAATTACTAAAAACATAACAAGAAATTTTTAATTTATTTTTAGGTGTTTTAGCAATAAAATTAGCTGTAGCAGATGCGTACGAATACGAGTTATATTGATATCAATTATTACCAAAACCTATTCAGTTCTTTTTTCTTGATAAAAACAATGTTACTTCTGTTCTTGGTAGTTAGCAATGATTTTAAAATTTATGCATGATGTCGGTGTCGAATAAATTCCGTTTGGTTCATCATTTACATGATAACTGTTCGAACAGTTGAGGCACATCTACTTATATATATAATCTTTATATTATCTGTGAAACCATCAACCTAAAATGTTAGTATGATATAACCAGTTTCTACAAGATCTGCACAAATAATATCAATTAAAATTCTACAATAAATAATTCCCTTTGTTAGGTTTAATTATTTATACGGTGTAACTTTCACATCGATTGAGTTCGACAAAGCAGTTAAAATAATTTTTTCTGGCTATGAGTTCTCGGTTTTGACAAGTATCAAGCCGTTGGACAGTTTTTTGCTCAGAGAAAAATATATATTTGATGAATGTGTGCATATTTGTATTCGTTATTGCCATAACTAAATACTTTTATTGATAAAGTTGTGTACATTTTGTGTATTTAATTTAATTTTTTTAATTTTAAAAGGTAATTTTTTAATTAAATTTTATATTACAAATTATATTATGCGTATTTTAAAAAAACTTATTTATTCATATTTATTAAGGGTGAATGTTGCTTCTTTGCTCATGATTGTCCTAATGAATAAAATGGAATATGCAACCGAAATTCTAAAATGCCTACTTCTACGATTAGTTGACAAATCAGTCGTTAGTAAGCATCCACAATTAATGCTAAGACGCACAGAAAGTGTAGTAGAAAAAATGCTAACCAACTATATGGCTATTTGTATGTATGATTATTTAAAAGAATATGCTGGGTCCAGTCTGTTTTTGCTATTTAAAGCAATAAAACATCAAATAGAAAAAGGACTTGTAGATGCGATAACCCATGATGCGCGTTATTCATTATCGGAAGAACGTCTTCTTCATGAGCAAATACCACATTCTGTTGTAGTTTTGCATATTGTCCAAGATGATCTGGATGAAAAGGTACAATGCAAAGTGTTAGACTGGGATACTATATCACAAGTTAAATCAAAAATACTGGACGCTTTATTTAAAAATACACCATTTTCAATGAGACCCTCAGTTCATGAAGTTGATTTAGAATGGCGTCACGGACGAGGAGGGCATTTAACTCTTCAAGATGAAGACTTAACTACAAAAACAATAAGTGGTTGGAAGCGTCTAAACACTTTAGCCCATTATGGAGTAAAAGAATCAGCAGTCATGAGTTTAATGGCACGACAGAATGATAATTATAATATTTGTTATAGCAAACAGCATCCACCCTATCATAACTGTAAGTATACCTAAATTTAAAAATCTGAAACATTTATTATTAAAATTTATTTTAGTTTATTACATAAATAATTCTCAGTCTCATATTATTATTAATAATGATATTGAGTCAGGGCTGCAGCAACCAAGAATTTATCATCTTGTTAAGCCTGTTGTACCTGATCACTATATGAATATTAAGAACAATGCTATATCTGGAGGTGGTAGTAACGGTTCAACATATATTGCTGGAAATGATCGGATTCATAAAACTATTCCCGAAGTGTATTTAACACGATTGTTAGCAGCGAAAGGAACAATACAAAAATTTGTAGATGATTTTTTTGCGACGATCTTAACAGTTAATGAGGAACTGCCACCTGCTGTCAAATGGCTTTTTGATCTATTAGATGACGCTGCCCGTCATCACGATATTATTGATATGGAAACTGTCCATGCCTGGAAATCAAATAGTTTGCCCTTACGATTTTGGGTGAATTTTATTAAGAATCCTGATTTCATATTTGATGTAAATAAAACTCTAACTGTGGATTCATGTCTAAGCGTAATAGCACAAACATTTATGGATTCTTGTTCAACGGCAGAGCATCGTTTAGGCAAGGATTCACCTTCCAATAAATTATTGTTTGCAAAGGTTATATAATAAAAATATATTTTTAAATAAATTAAATAACATTTCTTTTGTCAATTTTAAGGATATTCCACAATATCGCAAAATGGTCAAGCAGTTCTATAAAGATGTCTCTCGATTACCGCAGATAAGTGATCAAGAAATGAACACTGCCATGCAGCAATTATCAGTACAACAGAATGAGGAATTTGATACAATAGCAGCACTTAAAGAGTTATATATATATGTGACCAAATATAAAGGCCAGGTAATTATCTTAATACTTCGTAAAATTTTCTTTAATTTATTCTTAGTTGAAACGGAAATTTAGTGTACCTATTAAAAAATAAAATTTTTAATGTGTTCGCTATTTAATGTCTTCTGTGAACATTTTTAATAAAATCAGTTTCTTAGGTTTTACACAAATTTTATATATTTTAATAAGAATTATATATTCTTAGTTGATTCATATATTCATTATATATTCAAGACTAATTCACTTGTAATAGCCTTGATTTATATGAAAACTCGGTTGTAACGGTTTATTACTACTCAGCAGAGAGTCTATAATTTTACATTTACTGGTCTAATGATGAAACCTGATAACGGTGATTTTTACTACAGTTCTGGATGTGTAGACTGATTTAAAAAGACCACAACATTTGTTTTGCTAAAGTTTGTGGCGAATCGGCTTCAGTATACCAACATATTACAAAAGATTGGTAATCACACGTTCTAGCATTATTACGTACTCAAAAGACATCAGAAATATTACATTCCATGCATTCCATGAAATTACGTCATAATATTTCAGATAAAGCAAGCGTACGCACAAATATTTAAATAAAATATTACATTGCATACAGCGCACAGGGTGCCAAAACAGATATTAGACATATTGAAATGAAATTTTTCTTAAATATAGTTTTTGTGATATAAATCACCCTTATTTCATCCGTTGCACATGCATCCGCAAATGTGTAATTCTTCACGTGTCCAAATGCATTTTTTTACCTTATTTCTTGCTTTCTTTTTGTAATTAAAAGGCTGTTCTGCATGCATCAACTATCCTTGGAGTTCACTTACATTGTTCTGATTGTGCATGCGGGCATCGCTGCTAACTTTTGGAAATTTGTTTGGCCTATTTATGAATAAAAGATGTGATTTGCATAGTGAAGCAATGTTGGTTATTGGACTATTACTACTTATTCAGCGAAGTAGTTGGCACCAGTAATTACAAACCAAACAAGTTAACTGGTACTTCTTAGTGAAAAAAAATGAACAACTTATTTTTTTTACGCTGAACAATGTCAAAACGAGCACATAACTGCTTTGTAACTTTGTCGATCGACACTTGGTCGTCTGTTTTTCCAAGTTGCTGTAACGTATTTGTTCAACATTATTTTACAATATAGCACTTTTTGATACCCAGTTAGAGAACTAAAGTAAATGAAAGTATCCACAAAACATTTACTTTTAACAGAAAAACTTGTAATTTAAAAAAAAAGAGCCATGAACTAATATGTAAAAATAATCTGAAAGATAAAAACTTTTTAATAAAATTATCAAAATGTTTTCTATGGTTTTAATGCATAATTCTCAAATGTGTAAACTTAATGATATGATGTTCTAGAACATTTCAGAAACCAAATAGTTGATTGTAAACGAAAATAATTACTACATACATTTATGTAATATATTATAATTACTTTTTTAATATATTCATTACGTTTTACATTGTAGATATTAAATGCTCTAAACAACGATATTAGCTGCAATAAAATGAATTTGTCTCATAAACTGGAAAATGTGGGTTGTACCTTAGATGGAGAGGAAACTTCCGCTTGCTGACATTTGTCAAATCGTACATCTTTAAATATTATCTCCAAGCCATTCATTGAGAATAATTTTATAAATACGTCTTTAAGTACTTTAAGAGATAACACGAGAGTCTATTTAGAAAATTCAATTGGAAATTCAAATGTTTTTTCAAGTGGTAAGTATATCCCAATTTAATAATAATAAATAATGTAATAATAATAAACAATGTATTTAATAACTACTAGTAATAAGCTTATATTAATCTTATTTTTGAATAAAATTTCTTTTTTTATGTAGAAAACAATTTAATACTGAAATCACAAAGGAAAAAAATTCTAAACATGCATTAAACTCATAACAACAGTATATGACTTGAATTGTTTAAAAGAGCGGTTAGGTAGACCGCTCTTCGTCTCAATCTGAGATAATTTTATGTCATTTTCTGGCCAGCTAGCAAGTAGTATATTCTTCGACTTCACACCTCTTTACAGAGGAGTCTTTGTCTTTATTGACTATTATCCTCAACAACAGTGGCGTAGTATTGGACATGATTCTTTGCGTCGCGTTCAAAGGACACATTCACATTTATTCTTCTCAACCTTACTAAGAACTGAAAACTGGCTAGAAATTAATTTGCAATACCTATAGTATCTTTCGGAATCGAAACAATTTTTTTTTTTACTTATAGTTACTATATTCGTATTATTTGGCAGTTCACGTTTTCTCCTATCCTTTATGTTTTGTTATTGGTGGACAAAAATAGTTGAGCATTTGAAAACACTTCTCGTACTCTTAGAAATTTAGATTCCTCTTCCTAATCGGCAGTAAACTGATGCATAACTTGATGATGCTACTACGACTTCTAAACGTGGTTGCTTTAGCTCCTGATATCAGTTGCAGTAGAATAACTTGGAGTGGACAGACACGTGGTATTAGCTATGCTGTGTGTTATACGCACATACTCTCTCATAATGTTCTCGTATATGAATGCCTTAGTAATAGTACAGCCAAATTAATGTAAAGTTTTTATTAATTTTTGAATAAAGAGTGTAGTTCGTATAATGACACCACAGACAATTATATATAGATGTCAATAATATAAAAAACAAGTCCAATAAAATTTAAAAATTTCACCATATCAAATAAACAAATGCAAATATGTTCAAAAAGTATGTGAAGATGAAATTTGACAGAGGAAAAGCTATATTTTTGAACTTTGAATAAAGTTTCATACAGTCTTAGTCAAAAGTATTTACACAACAAAATTTTTTATACACATTGCACTAAAACAAGTTTTTTGTTGTTGTTGTTCCAGATAATTTGCAAAAAAAAAAAATTTGTTGTCACTTAGCTTTATCTATGTAGAACCAAATAAACCAAGATTTGAAAAGATATCGGTTCAAAGGACAACAACAGAAGCAAATGAATGAATGCTTTTAGTTGTCAAAATCAAATATTCATATAATTGTATTTACAAGCTCAATTGCGAAAATTATTTTATATATATTACGTTTATATTACTTATTTTTTATATTACTTATTATTTCAACTTACAATATTTATATTTTATTTTTGATCAAACACTTGTTATAAAAATGTCTAATTTTTTTTCTAGCAATTGTGAATTAAAATTATGCGTCTTCAATTTATCAACAAATGTATTTTAAATAACAACGGACGATAACCGGAATTCAGCATTTATTCAACCATCTGTTTACAATTAACTATTACCTGCTATCGAATAATAGCATTTTACCTATGATTAAAGAAAATCTAAGTTGCATATATAGTCAATTATATTAGTGGTATTTACATTCATATTTTTTAAATAGTACGAAAGACTTGATTCTTAAAATTCATGATTCATAATAGCGTATTTTTGTATAATGAATATATTGTGTTAACATGCGTACATTTACGTTTAATCTCTTAATTTGTATTTTTACAATGAATTAAATTTTTATAATTTATATATATTTATGCTTTAAATGTGATATTTTAATTTTTTCATTCAAACAAAATTATTTTTAAGTATGTAATAGTAATATTGGGTTAGATGTGAAGTATACGGTGTATTTTAGTCGAAGTGACATTGTTTTCGTTAAAAACAATTTTAATAAGCCAATTATTGCTCTCATTTTTCGATTATCTGTGTTGTTTAATTTTTCGGTTACAATTATAATAATATTAATTTTTTTGGTTATATCCAAGATACTCAAAAAAAAATAAATTTTATGCCAACAACATATTGTAATAGAGATCGTAGATCTTATATAATCAATTATTAAAAGCAATAACTTTATGTTCCAAAAATCATTGGATATCGTTTGATGTAAATTTGTAAATTATGTAAATTTGATTAAAATTTTCTACTTATTTTATGAGATACCCAATCTTAAAGCTTTTACTTTCAAAGTAGTTCTATTCAAGTAGTTAAAAACTGTTTTTTGGTTAATCTTAGTTCCATAGTTTATTGAAATTTTTTGAACAAAACTTAACGTACTATTCCCAGGTACTTCAAACCATTAATTGAACTTCATTTGATCTGTGTTACATTTCATTTTTATTGTAATAAAATTGTAAAATTTACCAAATTTTTGAAAATTTTTAAACGAATATTATTGTTTTTTTTTTGCCAAACATTAAAATGTCACATGTACTGTCAAGGAAAAATGTAGTTTTAACATTTTAAATGTTATGACTTTTAAAAACCTAGCGAACAGAAAAACACCAAATACTTTCCGCCTAACTCCAATATATAAATAAGATATATAAAATTTGACTATTTTTTTGTAACTACAACCTGAGTAGCTGGCCGACTACTTGGTGTAGTGAAAAGACTATAACTATGTACAATTAACATTAATACCTATAAATGAAATATTTTATGGTTTCCGTATTTTATCACTTTAGGCCTAATCTTTTGTAAGCATATTGGAGAAAACATAAAATAAGTATTACTTTGGTATAACACTCGAAATATTAATTTGTATTCGCGATCATTTGGATCATTGGAAATATTAGAAATCAACTCAAACAGAACTCTTAAAAAACTTGGAATATTATTATGAATAATGTATTATAAATGTATGAATGTTATTTATTATGAATATATACACCGAAAATATAGGTTTTAAAATAACCAAATACAAATAGTAAACAAACATTTTTTTACAACTGACTGGAAACTTGCATGTATTTTCAAATATCATTCACGATAGTCTACTTTATATTCATATGCTTACAAAAGATAACGACTATTTTTAAATATTAGCCAAATTTTTTAAAGTATGGTAGATTATTTCTTAACTTATGATTATTAAGGTTATTGCTAAAATGAAAATTTTTATGGATGGTGGCAAGAGCTTCATTTTAAAATCAAATTTATTAATTTAAATGAAACTGTTTGAATCTTGTGTTCTATTTATACTACTTACGTGCACTTAAAACGTTGGTAAGCTTTTGCAGGTTTTTAATACAATAAGCTATGTAATATATATATTTCAGTTTAAAATCGTAATAGAATTTTTCGAAAATGCGTCGTATTGCGAAATTATTTAATAAAATGCGGCGCTTTTACACTGAGTGCATTATGCAGTTCAAAACATAAATAAACAAAACTGCACTGATTCAATGAATATTTGAGAAAAGTATTAATAGAAGTAAAGTTTTAAATGTATTTAAGATACCGAAGTTATCTTAAAACAAATTATATATAATGTATTCAAGCTCTTCACAAACTTGCCTAATTGTCTTCTAAATCAACAATTATTTTGCATTGTCTGATTTTTGCGAGACTACCTGTCGTCGTAAAATTTTTGGTGTCGTATTTAATTGCTCTGATATACAAAATAGAAGAAATTAAAACTGTAAGAGGTACGTTTGTTGAGTGAGTTTGAATTAAGAAAGATATTAGAAATCCATTAATGTTTAATTGTGAAGTTGAGTATAAGTATTTGCAGTAAATTAAAATATTTTAAAATATTTTTTATATATAAATAAATAGTAAATAAAAATACATTATTTCAACTGTTTTATTTCACTATAACAACTTATTATAGCAAATATAGTGCGTTTTGTGTTCTTTTTATCTCCTTGAGCCAGCATTTTGTCGCCTAGAGTGTGGTAAAAAATAAAAACAATCAAGAAAATTATTTTAATAAAATAAAATTGAGCAAAAATCAATCTATAAAGCACCAGGAAATTTGATGGTAAAATTTTTAGAAAGGTCTTATTTTAAGTTAAAAATATTCCCTGCAAAAAAATTAACTAGTTTTTCGGAAAAAAGCCAAACGGTCAACTACACGCTGGGACCCATAGTAATTATTTACTCTTTGATACTACAAACATTTTTCTGTCTGATTTGTTCGCAAATATGGTATATAGGGTACGTTCGTGGTGAAGTATGTATCAATGTAAGGTGTATAAAGTACGCATAAGTATAAAAATCAATTATTTATGCTTTCCAAATATTTATTAATAAAAAATATATATATAAGCTTACTTGCATCGTTATCTATGATTAATTTAATATTGTTTATTTTCATGGAAAATTTTAAAGCAGTTTTTTGAACATGCACATTGCACTTTTCACATATAAAAATAATTCCTAATATTAGGATTCTCCTGATGAAGGTAAAAGCGAATTTGCCGAAATACGTATAGGAAATTCAGAAAACAACGATTGAAATAAAAGTTCAAATTCAGAAAAAACAAGACCGACATTAAAATACTTTTGACGTAACAACTCAAAAAAATTTAAAACAAAATTATACTAAAATATCATTCATCTTATCGTGCAAATAATATGATTAATATTTCTGTAAAGCGATCTCCCCTTTGAGTTTCTTGTCTGTTTTCGAAGTGGCACTAGCAATGCAATTAGAGCTAACAGTGCCAAATATACAGAAACCTAATAAATAATACTGTAAAAAACAATTGGAGAAGTGAACGGCATGTTTCAATGGATGCTCACCAAGACTCAATAATTCCATTACAACAGATGCACCGATTCCCAATTGGTGCGTCAGTTGCACCGGAGTATGACAGAAACGATGATATACCCATTATCTGAAGAAAGGTCTTATAGCTAACAACTAAAACGTATTGGTTATTGGTCGACCAAAGTACAGTACCATGGTTTTATCGATTGATAAATGCTCCGCTCAGACAATTTGCATATAAAGTTCATTTAGCATTTTGAACAATGACCGCACTTTTGTAAACTTTTCAGCCATTAGCAACGTATCATTATTTGCGACATGAAAATTTGATTTTAACAGCTGGTAGTATTATGCGACATTGTTTGTAAGATTGGCATTCCAAACCAAGATCCATACTTTAATATAATTTCACATGTGGCACATAATGATATCCGGAAAGTAAAACTACTCCGATTTAACGCAGTTCGGAATAAAATTACTTTGAAGACATTCTTTTTTTCACAGATGTTTCAAGTTCCAATATGAATGATGGCGGCTCTGCCATTTCCAGAAGACAACAATCTTAATAGTACCTAGTACCTAATGCCTTCTCACGATTAGACAAACGCAAACGGATTTCATATTTCATCATCGTCAATCACTTTATTGTGTGATTCACCAGCAACATTATCCGGTGGCAAACACCACCATTTTAATAGGTAGCGGAGCATCATTCGGCACTGATGGATCATTTTCGCTCCTATTGTCAATTTGATTTAAGAAATATATTTGACAACATTATACGGCATTATAATTTTATTAACCGTAAAATAATGACGACAGAGCTATACTATCTTCAACTAAGTTGTATATAGCTATATTTAAGACAGGATTTATATATTTCCCCTAACCATGGAATCACTAAGTTCTGCAGATTTCGCAACATGATGGGGAAGATATTCCCTAAGCCTGGTGATTTGTAAGGAAAAAAGCTGTTAATTGAATACTTAATTTTTTCCGCTGTGACTATTTTCAACTTCAGCTGAGCTTAGCAGAGAATGAGGTTGATTCGATTGACTTACAAAATTTCTTACTGTCATTATTTTTAGCCTCCTTGATAGCTTTTTTATATGTTTAAGACAGTCTTTAAGCTTTGCTATTACTTTTATAGCTTGCATTTAACTGTTTACGCATTTCCCGTCTGAGATTGCTTAGTTATGTGTTCCACCAAGGTGGATTTACTTCTACCTATTGGACAATAGCTATATTAAAAGCTGCCTCAAGATTATTTACCGTCTTGTCTAACTCACTAGTAGAATCAATCTTGATTAGTTTTACTTTATTAAGCTCCACCTTAGTTACCTTTGTAAAAATATCTAATTTTATATTTTTCGGGTTCCTAAAGTTAGTCATATGATTTGGTTTAATACTAAGATTGAAGAAAAGTAAACTGTGATCCTAAAAGGATTTCTTGTCAGATACCTCACAATTGCTAACTGATTATTATTTTTGGATAAAAGTGTTCTATCTAGCACTTCTTCCTATCCAGCAAAACCCCTGCAACTGAGGGAAGGGAAGTGTTCTATCTAGCACTTCTTCCTATCCAGCAAAACCCCTGCGACTGAGGGAAGTGAAGGCAGGACTATATTACAGATTAATAGATTGGAATTATTAATAAAATCAAAAAGATACTCATCCCTATCATTGGTTTTCGAACTGTCCCAAAGTGTGTGCCTCGCAAGGGCGTCGCCTCAATTAGCTTGGGAACTCTTCTTGATGAACAGTTGCGTACTAGCGCGACTACCTCTTCCGGAGGAGCATCCTTATAATGCGTCATGTAAGCAGAAGCCACAATTAAATTTGACGTACCAGATATTTCAATCTTTACGCCTGTGAATTCATTATCACTATACTATGGACATAAAATGACATTAATACATTTTTTAACTAAGATACATGATCTTGGCTTACAATTGTAACTAAAATATAGGTTACTATAATTTTTTATTATTAGTGCTATGACGTCCTTACCTCTGACTAATGACTCTTGCACAATGCTAAAAAAACAACGAGATTTTTCGAGGCGACTTATGAATGCTAAAGATTGATTTCTGGTACTTTTAGCATTCGAGAAGGTTTACGACATCCCTGAAGCATAATGTTGTGGTGATTATATCTCTTATTTTATTTAAAACGATTGTCCATATTTATATTTTAAATTATTATTATTTTTAATATATTTTTATTTAATTTAAGATTTTCAAATTGTTGTTTATGCACTTATCTTCAATGATGTCTATAATGCATTTAACTTTATCTAGACTCCATGAAAACTCACTTAAGACTTTAATACTACTGATTACAATTATCTTAATTTCTACCGAAAAAAAATCCGACTTCTCAAATACTTTTTCTTAAATCTAATAATTTTATTATATACTTAATTTTTATTGGTTACAATAATTTTTCATTCTATATACTTAAGTGATTACTCAAGACATAGTTTCGTAATAGTCGACACACATATGGTAACCAATATGCATTCAAAATATTTGTCATAAAGTAAGGACAAAATAAACAAGTCAAATTTCTGGCTCATAAATAATTTTAAATTTGGCATTTTGGGATTTTCGGTCATTCTTGTGACGCAGCGTATTGTGGTGTGGTCATGGTCAATATGACACTACAATATCATCGAGCAACTTGGTATCATCCTCTAACCAATTGCCCTTATCATCATTGCCTGTTGGGCGAAAGATCCTAATTTTTGTGTATCGTACGCCAAACCTGAGCTTACAGTTCATTTGACTTCACGAGTTCCTCGTTTTTCATTACAAAAAGTGTCATACTTGATGCTTCGTCCTTGATGACTAGCCAGTCATTCAGTGGCAAATTTTGGTTTTTTCGCTGCAGAAGTTGAAGTACTTTCCTGTGCTCCATTTTCAGTATTGATAGTCAGAAAGTTCGTCCGAAGCATAGTCAACCTGTACCTAGGGACGGCTAAACTGAAACCGAAGGTCGCCAGGTATCTGGAGTTCACCGTTCTAAGACACACTCACGCATTGCCATTCATCATTGACATGGTCGTTCATAGACCCAGGATTGCGGGTCTTATCGAGTTTTTCTCTTTAAATCCGCCATACTGTGTGGCTCTGCACCACGTATGGACGATCTTGACTCATCATTCCACTCCAGAAACCTAGTGGCTTACATTCACTCTAATCACATTCACACCAACACAGAATGATTCACTTGCATACACATAGATTACAAGACAACTCGACTACTGATAGTATTTTGTTGTACTTACAAGCCGGATCGACATCGGGCCTTCAGTCCACTACCTGTACAGTTGGCAAGAAACGGGTAGTCAGCAAGCTTACCTGTGGCTAAGCCCCTACACCACCTCAAGGTGTCTATCAAGTAGTTGAGAGATTACTCTCACTTTTTTTCATTACCTAACGACTAAAATTTATATTGCATTATTTCATCATTATAGTATTATGGGGCCCAATATGTGATTAACCACACGCTTTTTTTCACCGGCTTCTGTTGGCAAGTAACTGTTACTACAGCGCTGGCAAAAATTATGAATATTATTGGGCTTTTGTAAATTTTTTCTTTAATTTTTATTTGATTAAAAAACCTTTTTTTGGACATTTTTTATGTCTGACAATATAACGTCGTTATGGACAGATTAACCCTTTTCAAAATATGTATTTTATATTTTTAAGATATCAAAATTAATAATAAATATAAAAAACATTGATTTAATTACTTTTATAAACTGTAATGAACGTATTTACGGTCGTTGATAGTTGGGATAGCTCACGGTTTTCCAAAGGTGTTACAAGAATATTTTTTTGAAACCCTGAATCTTCTCGTAATATAATTTTTCCATAACACCAGTTAATTTTTTAGTGTATTTTTTTTATTAAATCCATTTTTTTTTACAATGTATTTATTTATTAATTATTAACTACTAAATAAAGTACAATACAATAAATTTACAAATATTTCAAAACAATTTCTGAAATAGGAAGAACGATTAGGAAAGTAACGTTGCTGACTGGGTCAAGTT